GGTTGCGCCCCCCCCCCCCCCGGTTGCCCCCCCCCTCAGAATCCCATCCTCGTCGCCAGTGTTGTAATGTAGTTTTAATGGACAGTTTCTTTCATGGTGGCTCCAGGCTGGAGATGAAAATCACATTTGCCCTGTAAATGGCAGGACACAAAACTGTAAATCACCTTTCCTGCATGGCCATCAGTCAGTTCAGAAACTTCCTTTCTGTTTTCCGTGTCAGAAATCCGATACTTGTGCCTGTCAAGTTTTTCATACACGTGTTATCAACTGTGGAAGAAAGGCTGAAAAGTCCTCAAAGTGCCATCCGTGAGCGAAGGCTGCCGAAGGAATTGCTTGACTAGCATTAGGAATGATAGGGAGAAAGTTTATAGAAATAATTGCTGAGAGCAGCCTGCCTATTCCCTGAGCTATAGCAAGATGCGAATGAGTAAATGAATCCCAATCTGGAGTTGGGTTATTAGGATTTTTAAAAAAATTATTAGCGTGATACTGCTGAAGGCCACTGGGCCGAATGAGTGGGTTCATTTAAAGTAATCAATTTCTCCCTCCCCTCGTTTTCTTTTCACAACAACCCTTTGGGGTAGGTCAGGCCTACAGCGAGCGGCTGGCCCAGGGTCACCCACTCGGCACCGTGGCCAAGCAGGAACTTTGAACTGGGGTCTCTCATGCAGGGTCTGCCTTCTAGCCACTACACAACATGGCCTCTTGCCTTCCGTTGTCGTAATTAATTGCATAGCCCATTTAAGCAGCCCAATTGATGAAAGTTTCTAACTCCTGCTGACATAGAGGTAAAATTTTTGCATATGTTTCTCAGGTGATTGACAGGTGATTATTTCTGTGGCAGGGGAGGGGGAGTTGCCTCCTTCCTGTCGTCCCCCCCCCTCCCGCCCTTCTCCTCCAAAGATGGCTGCAGACCGAATGGAGGAGGGCGAGAGATTCCCTGCTGGCGGTGTGTTTGTGTGTGTGTGTCTCTCTGCTCTATTCTTCTGGTTGTGGCCAATTCCCCACCTCCTAGGCAAGTCACTGAAGAGATGAACTTCTTCCCGAATGGAGCTTTTGCAGTGAGCTTTTGATAGTGTAACTTTTACTTCTCATGCAAACCGGAGCTCCCTCTAGATCCCCAGCCTGTTCACATCGTCGGTCATCTGCCCCATCCCCCCCCACCCCCCACCCTGGGTTTCCCCTCGCTGTCATCTTCTGCTCTGTTCACGAACCTGACACTCCCGCCTCCCGTCCCGTCCCTTGGAGGTCAAAGTCACTCCGAAGTGATCCTTGGGAGGGAAGGACAGAAATCAGCTCCCTGCTTCCTCCGTCCTCTGCTCTGTCAGTTTTCTTCATGCGTGCTGCACAACTGAACAAGTCTGCCGTCTGCCCGTTTCGTTTCTGCCTGCCACGGGCCCCGAGGTGGGCTATAAATGCCACGGAACAGTGCTTCTAGTTAGTCCGGGGCAGTGTGGGAAAGAACGGCGCTCGCCCAGCTGGGATGTGGCGCTCCGGGAACTGTCTGTGTTTTGTCCCTTTGCTTTTCTAGCCTGTGCTCTCTGCCAGCGTGCACCTTGTGGCCCACCTTGTCTGTCTTTTCCTCACGTAAGGGGGTCCTCTGGGAGATGCCCTCTGGAGTGGAG